TTTGTACTTGCTATTCATTTTAACTTATAAAGACAAAACTTCACTAAACAGTAGAATAATGTTGGTTACGTCAGACGATTGTCTAATGACTGAAACTTCTAAATCATTKATAATAATATAAACGATAGGTTTATTGAATTATATTTTGTTATCCTGAGCGTAGCCCTTAGTTCACAGTAAATATACGAAGTACAACAAATTACAAAATATCTAATAATAATATCCTTATCTACATTTCGCTTGTGCCGCGTCGGGTGACGATGACGAGATGGTTGAGAATGCTACGCGGGGAAATTTTACGCACCCGCAGGCACAAGTCAAAGAAATTGTTCAAAACAAATGAATAGTGAAAATTTCACACTGAATACACGATTCTACTTTTAACASTACGCTCCCATAAATACTMCGATTTAAGTTTTGAAAAAACTTATAAATTCTTAATAACATTTCCAAGGCATCGCTCGTGATACAATTTAAAAAATATTTTTAATTATTTAATTATTTTTATTTGAAAAGTTGCAATTTTTMAAAATTTGAAATCATTTAAAAAATATTATTGAAAATAAAAATTCAAAATGTATTCCGACCGATGCATCAACCAAGTACTGAAAGATCTAAATCCGTTTTCAAAACTTATGTCGAAGGACGCATTCTGGAGTATGGTTAAATTTAGAATGTGCTATTTTCTATCAAAAACGGGCTGGTGTAGAGGCCCCTTAAGCCGATCAGCACACGGACGGCGTTTAAAAAGAAGAAACCGATCGAATACGACGGTAAAAAGGGAGAAACAACGCGATAAGGACTACGGGCCGAGATAACGACGGTGGGCCGAGGGTGAACGGTCACATAGATCCCTCGACAGCTAGATCTCGGTGACTAACTGACGCAATGGGATCTAATTGACGGCGGATTAAAACAGCCACAAGGAGTTTATAAATTAATATATATATATGTATATATATGTATATTAATATATTAATAATATTAATATAAATGTATATTATATCATGACAAATGAAACAAATAATCTTATTTCTCATGTATTATATTAAATTTTAGTAGTTATACTATATAGACCTATAATATATGTATTTTTTCATGTATCATAACATGTATCATATTATTTTTTAGATATTATGTAAAAGAATTAGTTAAAAATAATAAAATTACTACTTTTTAAACACAATTTTCGGTAATTTGAATGTAATTATTAATGCCTTCAATTTTACTACTTTTTCAACTACAACATCCACACCTTAATAATACAAATGAGGTAATTAAAATCTTTATATTTTCATGAGGGTATTCAGTTTAAATATATATTATAATTAAATGTATTATCTAGCATGTAGTTTAATAAAACTACATATATACTTTCATCATATATAGCTGTTTTCCATATAGTAATTAAGTGAACATGGTGTGGTGTACCAGTGACCTACTTAAAATGCAAGTAGTTACTTTGTCTTGTCTATAATTGAGTGAAACATTATTATGGATTGTTTGATTAATTGTTAAACTAACTTAGTATTTTGTTTTAAACATCATAAAAATTATTGTATTTTATCATAATATTATATAGGTATTGTATTTCTTGGGATTGCACACTTTTCAAATTATCAATTATTATTTATTTATGTATATTAAAATAAATTAATTTAGTGTATTAATTTTTGTTTTTGAATATTATTACATTTAACACCTATC